GGCAATGTCCTGACTTCTATCTATGGTTCCAACTTCCCTTTTAGCCAGCTTTTGCTGAAAATATAAACAAAAAACAAAGATAAAATGAGGATGCTGAATCGTTTAAAATTGTAAAAACACAAATGATTTACAGCTTAGATATTTTGTAAAACAGCTACACTATATAGCTATCTCTCAATAAAATGGTGAGGTCTTAATAACTATTGCAGAGCGTGTGCCCCAAAATATGAAGTGGTGAGGTCCTAGTTGCAAAATATTAAAAATATAGTTTCACTTTCATTTAAAGACCCCGATAACATTGCATTATACAGAAGCCAGTATGAACTAGTTATCAAAATGACTAAAAGGTGAAACTCTAGAGAACTAGATGAAAAAGATAAATCCTGCAATAAGATTATAAGACACAAAGCTAAATGGTGTAAACATTTCATAGTAGAGCTTTCACAGACCGTGCAGCAAAATTTTAACATACCAACCAAGCCTGAGCTGTAATACAGAGTCACGAACAAATAAAACATACTATTACTCAGAGTCCAAGTGATCCAATGAGCTACATAAAGCTAGGCATTCAACATTACCTTAATGACAGACATCAAACCGGTCTTGAATTGTAAAACACCTCGGCCTTCACTATTGGGGTCCAAATTTTGAGATAAAGAATATGCATGCTCACATACTGCAAAAAGTAAGAATTATTAAAAAGGAATAATGGATATAGACTCTAGAGGATCTTAGTGGTCAAATTGAAATATATAAATACATTCTCAAACAAAAAGGTTTTCATTAAAAAGACTTTTACAATTTTCATCAATTAACATATTCCTATAATCCACCACTACCACAGGAGAAAGCTAAGAGATAATATACAATCAAAATACTTCATATAGCTTCTAAAGCTGTGATGCAGTAAGGAAAATAGCAAATACAATATAATGGAAGACTTTTCATATAGAATGGGCACAGATAGAGCACGAGATAAAAACAGCATGAAAGCCAACATACATATTCGAGAAACTGTGGGAGCATCGTCTTGAATTTCATCTGCAACTCTTAAAATTTCATCAATATCTCTATTTTTAGCAAGCGCAGATGGCACATTTCCAGCAATTCCACCAGCAGGTTGCCCAAATGCATCATCACCAGTTCTTTCTCTTCTCAAAGCAGCCCGAACTAACCGCTCCCAAAGTTCTTCAGCTCGAGACATCTGCTAGCAAGCATTGAATACAACACAAATTAATGTTTTAGAACACAAAATGAGAAACCAAAATCCACTCATTCACCAAGAGCACGTGAAGTACAAATCAAAACAACTAGCAACATTGACAAATGAAATATTTGACAAAAATACACTCTAATTGAATTTCTAACAGGAAATTAACTTTTCTAAGGTGCCTTTCTAGCAGAAAAAGTAACCATAAACTAAAACAAAACTTCAAAAAAAGTAAGAGTCAGCAAGAAAGAGTATCCACTGAATCTAACAGATTAAACAATTAATCTGGTGACTCAACATTGTTTCACCATCCATCAACCATTATTGTTCTATACGTAAATAACACTCATACAATTCAAATCAGTGAATTGGAACTAACTATGCAGTCAGTTGCGAGCTTCAACGCGGAATTGCGGTTCAGCGTCGCCTTTGGCAGGGGTGGATGACTATCGCCACCGCAGATCGCGCTTGAATCGTGTCCAAACGCACGTTACAGAAGAGGTTAAGAAAAATACTTGAAATGAATAAAAAATTGAAACCTGGACTCAGGTACTGGATGTGGCGGTCGAAGACCAACTCCGGTGCGTTTTCCGGCCAGATGAGTTCAGTGCTACTCCAACTCGTTTCTAATACAATGCTAAACGCGGTTTTTGTATGGAGTTTTCTTGTGTTAGGGTTTTGAAAACGGTTTCGTCTGAGATGAGGTAGAAGAAAGTGAACGGAAACAAAGCAAGAGTAAAATAAAAGTGAATCGAGAGGAAGATGCTATTTGTTTTTTTGTTTGGTAGGAGCGAAAGTAAGACGAAAGAAACGTAAAATTTATCTAATTTTTATATTTGAGAAGAATAAGAAGAAAGATAAATAAATAGTATACTACTTTATATTTTCTATTTTTTTAATCATATTTTTTTTTAAAATGATGTTAATTTTATTTTATTTTTGTAGTTGATGTTAATAAATATCTTACATAAGAGTTATGTGCGAGGAAAATGTAAGGAAAAAGATGAAAAATATAAATAAAATGGATTGTGTAATTTTATTTTTCAATAGAAGAAATAAAATGGATTGTGTAATTTTTTTTTTCAATAGAAGAAATAAAATGGATTGTGTAATTTTTTTTTTCAATAGAAGAACTATAAAATTGTAACTCGCAATGTTTTTTGAAAAAAATTTAATGTTTCAAATGAAATAAATATTTTAATCAACCAATTTTTTTTACCAATTCTTTTGTTTGTTTTTACAATATTCAAAAGCAACATTATATACTTATATATAGACCAAAAATAATGTAAAATGATATTTTTTCAATTTTATATGTTTTTTTTGTAATGTTTGTGTAAGAGAATGTTTACTTTATAAAATACAGGAGTTTTGATGTTTAATATAATTTTACTTAAAACATTAATTTACTTAGTTAGATCTATTTAGTGTGATAAAATAAATACGACGAGTTAGATATATTTATTTTGTCTGCACTTTAATATAGAATGGATTAAAGATTTAGGCATTCACTTTTTAATATGTATGTTCTCATTCGTCCTATTTCTTTTAGGCTTTTTTGGATACAAATATTTACATAAATTTTAAGTATCTAAATTTATTAAAAGGTTCAGGGTTCGCAAACTTTTTCAATTCAACCCTCGCATTTTTACTGAACGAGCTTAAATTTTAAGTGTGTGTCTTCAATTATGTGTATCCCGTCTCATCCCATTTTTTAACAGACTTTTATATGACGAGTCTAAACAGGACGGACGTTCCCGTTTACAACCTTAAACAAATTTGTCATTTATCTTTAAATGAGAAACTTATCACAAATTTTTATACACAATAGTTTATGAAATGTTTTAAAGAACATTTATCCATCATTCAACATAATAATTAAACTCCAATTAACAGCAGAAAGATCATAATCTAAACATTTATCATCATTCAATATAATAGTTAAACTCCAACTGACAGTAGAAAGATCATAATCTTAGATAAGAAAAAATAAAAAATAATATATATAAATAAAAGAAAAAAGAAAATGCATCAATTGTGTAAAGTAGATAAATTACAACTTTGTAAAATATTAAAATATTCTTTTGCTAGTGTAAATAATTTGTGGTAAAAGAATAATTTTAAGAATTCGCGTAGTTAAATTGTATTAGATAGATATTAGATGACAAGTGGCATTTATATATCAATCTTCACCAATTAAATTAAAATTAAATATTACATACACACATTCTCTCTCTTCATTCAAATTTTAAATCTTTTTCACTTTTTTTTCTTACACTTTCTCACTTTTATTTTTCTCTATTTTTATATTATCATTAAAAATATTAGTAATCTATTTTTTAATTTTAATAAAATTAAAAACTTATTTATCTCGCAGATCATTATCAATGCAATATTTATTTTATTTAAATCAACTATTATCTTATTTTTAAATACTAATTTTTTACTTTCTCCATCTTATGATTTCTTTTTTTTTCTTTTTATATAATTATTTAATACAATTTAATTTATATGATTATTATTAATTATATCATTTTAAATTTTGTATTTGTATTTAAATATATTTTATATCGCATCAAATAATTTTTTATCTCACACGTCATTATCGCATCAAATTTTTTTTTGTCTTTGTTCATCTCGCAAGTTTTTTTTTGTTTTTGCATGATTATTTAATACAATTGATAATTATTTTAAATTTACATCGGTATATAAATACATTTTGTATTATATTAAATATATTTTCTATTTCACGTGTCACTATAAACACAATATATATTTTATTTTAGTTAATAATTATCTTAATTTAAAAGATAAAATCATTATTATCAAATATTAAATATTTTAAATTAGTCATTTTTGTCTAATTAGCGACGAATTTAACGATAGATATTTAAATTTTTTCGTCGCTAATAGGACAAAAATGACTAATATGAAATGTTTTGAAGAGTTAATGAATCAATATGGATCTTTTTAAAATTAATGATCAAAAATGATATTTTGTCTTTAAAAATTATGAATATGTTTGTTTCAATTTTTTTTTAAAAAAGTTTATAGTATTAAACAGTTTTGTTAAAAAATTTATAGTAAAATTTTCTAAAAATTAAAATATAAAATTGACTTAAATAATTATTTTATCTTTTTGTTATAATTTTTTAAATATAGTAAAAATTTTAACAACTCATTTAAATTCTAAGGTATGATGTTGTAAGCAATGAGATCGTCTTTCAAAGCACAATCTAATACCATGGTTCATGTAAGCTACGACAAAGATAAAATAATTTAAGAGATGTTGACTTTCATAAATGAATAAATAAATAATATTAAAAAATAGCTCAAAATTCAAGCTCACATATCTAGATAGTTTTTTTCCTGTATCTATAACATATATAAAGACAATACTTGATTTTTTATGGAATTTTTTTTATACTAAATTTACTCTTATTTTAAAATATATAACTTACAGAATAACTTCCATTGAACTACTACTATCATCTTTCATATAACTCCCTACTAATAACTTCTCACATAACTTCTATGTAAAATTAATATTAAATAAAAATATATCATTTATATTTATATGTGTGCAATAAAAAGGGGACAGACGGACACGCGAGTGCCCGTCTAGACGCTAGTTCCTAATAATGTTAATTACACCCAAACAAATACAATACAATCAAAATAAAAATAGTAAAAAGAAACAATAACATTTATATTTATCTTGATGAAATCATGAGTTTCTTCAATCAATTGCTCAAGCAATGATAAATTATTGTTCAAAGAATGAAGAATCCTACTTTTCAGAAATTTCTTCACACAATTGCTCAAGTACAGTTTCTAAAACCTTTAAGATACCAAAAATCGTTTCCTTCTCAACAGCTTTACTCTCCAACCTATTTTCAGTGTGAAAATCTTTTGTAAAAATGAATAAAAATAATCAAAACAGAATTAAAATATATCAATAATTAGAAGTCATAAATGAATAAAGTTCTGGTATATATCTAAAAACATACTCAAGATTCTGCATTTCTTCTTCACATAATTCATCCACATTATTCTTCTTTCTGTAACTCTCATAGAACTCTTGTAATATACCAAATTCTTGCTTTCTATCAACACTCCCAACTTCCCTTTTAGCCACCCTTTGCTAAAAATATAAATAAATAAAAAATATTAATTTTCTTTATTGTCAAAAAATCTACAAATATAACTTGAAACAAATATGTTTATACCTTCATGACAGACATTACCCCAGTCTTGAATTGTAAAACACCGTCGCTGTTGGAGTCCAATTTATGAGATAATGAATATGCATGCTCACATACTAAAAAAAGTAAGAATTATCGGTAAGAATATATATATTTATATACAGATTCAAGAAAATATTGCTAGTATTATTAATTTATTGTCGCGTGAACATGAACATACGTATTCGAGAAATCGTGGGATCTTCGTCTTGAACTTCATCTGCAACTGTTAAAATTTCATCAATTTCTATACTTTTAGACGACACATTTTCAGCAATTTCGGCATCAGTTCTTTCCCTCTTTAGAGCAGCATGAACCAACTGTTCCCAAAGTTCTTCAACTCGAGACATGTTCTAACATGCAATGAACACAAATCAAATTAAGTTAAGACAAAAAAGAGAAACCAAAATCATAAGAACGAATCAAAATAACCATGGACATAAATGAATGAAATACATGTTAAAAATGGACCTTGTTAGTGTGTCTTAGTAGCAGGATAAGTAACCAAAATCATGCCCATAAAAGATAGTAGTCTTGCAAGAACCAAAAATGTTTTACATCTAAAATATTTGAGCAGACACTTCAAATAAGTGGATCGTTGACAAAAAGAAAGTGGATTGATTGTGTAGAGCTTTTAATTGATCTTATCAAGGAAGTAAAGTCATTACTTGTACTAGGTTTACTTTCACTTTATGCATAAACTTTTTTTTTTAACTCTTTATGCATAAACTTAATAGAGAAGTAAAAGTCGTGTTTACTATGTTGTCTTTTCTTTATGCATAGCAATAATAGTTACTTTTAATTTTAAAAAAATAGTGATAATTAAATGAGTTGTACTTCCGTACTTCAAGAAAATATTTCTTGTTTTAAAATGTTAAAAATATTAGTTTAGGTTTTTTAAGTTATTTTAAAATATCAACTTAATCTTTTAAGTTTTTTTTAACCTTTAATTTTTTATGTTAAGTAACGTTTGCGTTGTTGACTTTTTTAAAAATCTCTGTTATAATAAATTGTAAATTTATATATCATTTAAACTGATTTTTTGCGCTGATCACGAATACGCAATCAAATTTATTAAACAAGTTACAGTTCATGAGAATCAAGGGAAAAAGTGAATAAATACATAATAGAAAATCGTTCGATCCGACCAAAATAAACAATCAAACGCAAAACGAATTACATATTCGTGATTATCGCGAAAAACCAATTCAAATAGTATATGAGTTTGCAATTTATTGTAACTGAGATTTTTAAAAATGTCAACGACTCAAACGTTACTTAACATAAAGGACCAAAGTGTTACAAAAAATACTTAAATGACTAATTTGATATTTTAAAATAATTAAAAGGACTAAAACAGTATTTTTGTCTTTTAAAAATTGATTTTTTTAATCTCAATCATCACATTTGGTGGAATTTTAGGCTATACACCTAAAAATATACCAGTCATAATTTTATCAGCTACAAGTAGATTGCAAGCAATGCATAGTAAAGTCTGAGTCAATTATTATGTAAATTGTGTATATATTTTTTCTATGCGATCATTTTCTTATAGAATAGTTCTGACTTATTGTATACTTAAGGTTCATTAGAAATCCTTTACGAAGATTGCATATTTTATTGCTAAATCTTAGACTAAAATGATCTTTATTAGTTATAAATGTGTTATCCCTTGTATTCTAAAATGAATCTCCTTGTGTATTAGTTTTGGATCAGTATGATTAACTTGATCTGTCAGATGTTTTAACTTGGCCTAGTTCTATTGGATGAGCTATAATTTGGGGCGGATTTTATTGCATCCAAGCTATAACCCGACTTAATATATTAGACATGTACATAACCCCTCAAGCCTCGAACTTAAGTCGCGTATTTTCTTAAGCATATCGAGAGACCGAACATGCACACGGTTCCTCAAGCATGAATTGTGGATGGGTATAATACTTTTTTGAAGAATACCGAGAGACCATACATGTACAAAATACCTCAAAAATGAGCTGCGTAAAGGCAAAAATGTTTCTTTGAGGTCAGTTAACGATTGTTTGGTGCGCCTCAATGAAAGATCTTTCTTGGGCGAACTTGTTCTAATTTTTTTGGCGTAGTGGACTTTGATTGTGACCAACTAATGCATGTTGGTTGCCTGATTATACCACTTATACTTGTTGTGATGCTTGACAAATGCTTTGGGAATAACACTAATCAATTACATATCCCTACTTCCTACAATCCTAAGAGGATAACTTTAAATGCAACCATCCTTTTGCCTACCATTCAACATTATAAATTAGCTTCATGATTTTTCATTTCCTTCATCTCTTCACTTCATCTCGTAAAGTCGCAGCAAATATCTCCTACATTTTTCTCCCTTCCTTGTCTTACATCTCTAACAACCACTCATAACAACATGTAACACTTTATTTTCCTTGCGTTTTTCATTTCTTCTTTTATGGTGTTCATTCAAGAGCATGACTCATCTACAAGGGTCATGGAGCCTCGAAACAATGTTGAGAGGCATGAGTTATGAACTCATTGTTTGAAGAGCTCAAAACAAGGTACGAGAAAAATATATTTGAAGGTTGCAAAAATTGGGTTTTTTAGTAGTTATGAGAGTTCGATTAATGGTAGTTCGAGGTAAGGATCGCCTAATGATAGTGACGCTTACTTTATGTCTTATTCCTCAAGTCCGACTAGATCCACCATGACACTCTAAACATCTAATCACAATTCCTTTTATAAATAGGCTATGAATATTGTTTTGAATTTGTCTTAAAGGTGACTAGGCACAATATTTCTAGTTAGATCAGGAGTTGTCTAATACTAGGAACGAGGTCGACGTGATATTAGAGTCGTGCATATCAGGCGAAAATATTTACATGCAGCGACCTCGAGGTGGAGGAAGAATATTTCTACTTCTATATTAGGATTTAGGAGGACTTTGGGGCCAATTTTCCCTTTACCCACCTACAATCTGACATCTTAAAGATCGTTAGTGTCATCCTTTCCAAATTACACTAGAACAATTAGGAATTTATTAGAGGTTTCGAGATTCTCTATTAGGCCCTTAACATTAGGCTTACAACAGACATATTGTTCTTTTTTTATGAGACAAAAAAGTGAATAAGGGTGGATTGGTCATTGTGAGTGACATCCCTAGGCTAGCTCTTATTTCCCCTTATACTTTAAACTACAAATATTGGAAGGACAAACTTGTTTAGGTTAAGGTCAATGCACATTATCTCAAAGTCATGTATGAAGAAGATATGACACATATGTTTTCTCTTAACTAGATGGGCAATGATCCCTTTGCTGTCATGGGCTAGGACCTAGATAAACTTAGCGAGACAAAGAAAAAAGTGGTCGTTCTCCTATACTTGAGGGGTACATTTTGACATTTATGGGTTTTTTAGGTAGACGATTTCCTAATGTCTCACTCTCCTCAATAATTTTTAAATAAATTTAACCATTTGTTTTTAGTTTTTTCATAAAGGGCGGCTCCATTTCCATTAGAAAAAAGGAAAATGACGATGGCGAATGATAAAGTCCACAAGGGCGAGGTGAAACCCGACCATCAAAGTGATCCTTTAGGCTTCCAAGATCGGGCTATAAATAAGAGAAAGGTTGTCACAAAATGGGAAATTAGCAGGGTTGTCCATTGGATATTACTAAGTCACGCCTTTTTACCTAGAAGTGTGAAGTTTTTCCCTCCTAAGAGAAACAAGGTGGATCCTAGAAAAGTGTTGATGATTTGGATTTTATTTTTATTATAGACTAAAAATGGGGAGCTTCATGAAAGGTGTTAGATATAGCCATTCAAAAGGTGGATCTTTCGTCATTTTTGGCAAAAAAGATTTTCATTTTTAAGAGGTGAACTACGACGGAATGTCATTCACATACGATCACCTCAATAAGGAGTGTAGTTGTCAAAAAGTATAGATGTGTATGTTCCTCTTGCAAAGGCATGGGGGACTCATAGGCTTTAGTTGGTATATCACATTGTATGGTGGTTAAGGTTTACCCACGACAGCGAGAAACTCTATATGATAGTATTTTATGGTAGTTTTAGGAATCATGCTCACGTGAGGCGAGAGGCACTGTGGATAGACAATGTGGTTATGTAAAAGTTGATGAGGGGTGTGATCAATATGATTTATGATATGGTTAAGTCTTACGCTTTAGGATGTAAAGGATATTCCCTTGAAGGGAGAAATATTTATAAAGACCCTTTGGGCTTATGGTTTGGGTAACCTTGAGTGATGAGTATTGCTCCCTCTTGATCAAGAGAAGTTATTAACCACATATCTTTCAGGAGATAATGGAAGACTTCCTCTCCTTAGACTAGTGGCATTACATGTCATCAATGCCCAAGTCGAGTCCTTAAGTTTTCGCATGGGCGATACATCTCGCCAGGACACCCTAGTTTAGGACCCTCACAAATATAACACAGTCTTTTAGTTGAAGGCGAATATTTATTAAAGGGTAAGTCCTTCGGCTAGGGGTGAGTCCATCAGTTCAATGTAACTCTCCTTAAATGACTGGACTACAAAATGATACATCTCATTTCTTTAGGTTTGACCCCGAGACGTCAAAAAATTAATCACTATTGAAAGCTAGAGTGCTTTAGTGGGAAAAAGAATAAGAGTGACATTTAATGCACCTCTTGATGGCGTTCCTTTAGAAAATTAATTTGTTCTCTATTTCTTGCATGCGTCTTCCAAGTGTAAAGACTTTCTAGTTTATCGTGCATCATGGCATTAGATTTTTCAATATAGGTCGAGAGATGTGATCATGAAACCCTGTTCCAACGAAGAGAGTGCTAACATGGATACTTCTGTCGAGTCGTCTGCCCCCTATTTTTACGTCCACCTTCCCATTATTCATGAGTTGAGGGTTTTGATTCCGCTCACTTCTTTCGAAACAGAGTTTCTGACAACCATCAACGCTACCCCTTCTCAAATTACCCCAAACATGTGGGACATACCGAAAGATTTTTAGATATTTTGTTGCATCCTGGGCATGCCTCTTATTGTCGTAGTATCTCTTTACTACTTTAGGGCTAAAATACTTCCCACCAATAGTCAGGTGACAAACCGACCTTTGCATGATGGATGTTTGCTAAAACTTTTCGCAAACCCTTACGGGGACTGGAAATATAAGTTTGTGCAAGTAAGAGGGCAAGATCGTACTTTTGTCATTGTGGGGGCGATGAGTGTAACACTATAAACCTCATACATTTATTTTATAAAAACTTGAGACAACATAGGAACATGTGGGTCGACATACGCAGTAGTATAATATTTGCATTAGGAATAATATTTTCGTTTGCAATTTATTTTGACTTTATCATGGATCCAGG